AATATACTAAACTTTTCTATAACTTTTATTGTTATAATTTAGATTATATTCCTGCAGTTGAAGTTTTTAAAAAAGGATTAGAAGACTTGAAAGAATTATGTGGACATGTAAAACACTGCTTTGACGGTGCGGCAAATCTTTACCTTGAAAAAAATGGATACGACCTAAATGAAGAGGCGGAAATTATGGGATTGCATTAGTTTAAGAACGCCTTTAGTGAAGCCCTCGTTAATCCTATTAAGGACTAAATGTGCCCAAATTACTTTTCATTCCTTTATAAAGTTAGTTTAATTTTACAATAACGTAATAGTAAAAGTAATTTACGGTTTTAAATAAAATAAGAATATTGATTCAATTTAAAAATTATCATTTCACTCTAGCAAGCAAACGTCTTTCGATCTTTATTACGCAGTTATAAAACTAACTTTGATTTTATTACGGTTTTTATCAAATCTTTTAACCTTTTGAAAAGACCCAAATGTAGCTCATAAAATTTTACTATTTAAATTTTAATTACAAGTAATGCTTATTTAAGGGAATTTGCGATCTAAAAAAAAGAAATAGAAACGATAAATATAATAAAATCCGCAAAGCATATACCCTCTAAATTTTTTACAACGCAATTAATCTAATTATGCTTTAACGAAATTATTTTTAAACCTTTTAAAGGACTTAAAGTAACAACTTTTTTATAAACTTTACAATACATAGTGAGGTTCACTGAAGTAAATTTACTATCAATAAATAAAAATATTGATATCAAAATTTTTATTTCACTCCAGTAAGCGTACGTCCTCTGAATTTCTATAACACATTTATAATAGTAAAATTAAAATAATGCCCTATCGGAGATTTTTTTAAACAAGCTTAAAAACATTTTAAAAGAAATTTAAATTTAGTTTTTTTCTAGAAAAAAAACATTTTTATTAAAATTTTATAAAATAATTTGAGTAATTTAACGGAAACTTATATAATATATAATTTTACAGTGAATAAAAAATTTTTAAATTAAAGCTAATTTTTTTTTTACAACGTCAATTAAATTATTTAAACTTGATATTTAGATTCTTTTCTTAAATATATTGTTTTTAGTTTTTGTAAATAATAGATGATACGACTTCTTCAATTTTTAAAATTTCAATAATATATGTACCCTCACAATTGGTATATTTTAAGACTTAGTGATGAAGAAAAGGTTCAAAGATGGAACGCGGTTCAGGCCAATAAGGTCTGCTTCTGGCCCCTTTGAGAGGGCTTATATGCCTAATAATCTTATTTAGTTCCGGAAGCACGCGTGCCTTTATCCTGGTATCGGCAGTTTATAACTTGATACCAACCGTTCTAACCGCACAATAAATAATTGAAATTTTTTAGCCGACCCGTTTATGAAGTCGACTATTTTAAACAAGCATTACTTTTATAATTCATAACAATAATTTTTTTAAGCCAAAGTTAAAAAAATCCGTTCTCAATTTTAATTTAGATTTTTTAAAAAAATTGAAACTTTAAATCATAACAGATTTTCTTTAAAAATAAATTAATAGTCAACTGGATATTTTATATGAGTACTACTTCCCTAATTTAAATATTCTTTTTTTTAATAAGCCACCTAATAAGTTATACAAATGATTTTATAAAAAAAACAACAAAAACTTATAAAAAATAACATAAGGTAAGCAATAAATAAAGTTTAACAAAAACAATTTTTGAAGGCCTTTTAGCTATTCAAAAAAATACTTTTGTTTTAACAATCTAAAGCTTAACAAAACTACAAAATTTATAAGCAGCTTCTAAGTCAATTTTTATGTAAATTTTATAGGAAAAAAGCTGGAAGTTATATAAATTAAAGAATTAATATTAAAAATTTCTAAAGAATTTAAAATTTTTTAACGATTTATAATAATTTATTTCAAATTATATAGTTTGCAAGAGTTATTCTTAACTTTTAAGGGGAAAAAAAGCTGTAAGATAATTAAATTTTGGAACAATTTAAAAAACTTGTTATAGGAATTGAAATCTTCAAGTTTAAACGAAATTCCTTTTTACTACAAATTAATTAGTTTATACATATTCTCTAAACAGTAAAAGTTGACCTCCAAACTAAATAATTAAAAAATAAACAATATTTGAATTATGGTTATTATTAAAAATTTAAAAGGACATTTTTTTACTATATATATATTTTTTAAATTATTAAAAAAAAAGGATAATTTTATTAAAATATATTTAAAACAAATTTTCCACAAACTTTTTAAATTTCTACGGAATTATAATTTAAAGTAAATTATTAAATTCAGTTAATCTTTTATACCTATTACAATTAATTGAAATTTATGGTTTAAAGAAGGCACTGAAAAGAAGTTTTAAAGTCTAGAAAAAACTCTTTAAAGCTTAAACAATAAACAATTTGTGCTTAAAATAAAAAATTATAAATAAAAAAAAAATTTAAAAAACATGAATTAAAAATTCGAAACAAAAAAATATTATTCTAAATTGAATAAATAAATGAAAAATTATTACTCTTAACTAAATTAATTTACAAATAAATAAAATTTTAAGCTTTTAAATAAATAATAACAAAATAAACTTCTTATAATTTAGTTGATTTATAAAGTATTTTATTAGAATTATAATAAGAGAAATTTTAAAATACTACTTGTTAATATTATTTTAATCAATCAGTCTATTTTCATTTATTTTTATATATTCTCAATTTCAAATTATAATATCAATTTTTTTAAGAGTAATAAAAAATAGGTTAACTTAATATCTTTTATGCAAACGAATTTAAAATATTAAAAAAATTCGTATTATAAATAAAAATATTATATACTTTTTTAATTAATATAAATTTATATTATTTTCAAATTATTTACTTAACAAAAACTTTTTTAACTCTTGATAAAAAAATATATATTAAATAATCAACTCAAAACTCCAGTTATGAATTAATGAGAATGAAAACGAAATAATTTTCCAAAAATTTGTATAAATACTTTTTATACTTCACTTTATAAAATAGTAAACTTTTCAGAAAATCAAAACTAAATTAAAATATATAAATAAACAATATAAAAATTATCATTATAAAAAAAAATTATGTAAATTATATAAATTTATTAAAAAAAATTTCAAATTTAATAAAATTTATTATACTTCATTTTTTTCCAAAATTTAAGATTAATAGAATCCTTATCTTCTTTTTATAATATTTAAAAATAAAAAACACTTTCTTGTACATATTTTTACTCTCTCAAAAAAGATTGTAAAATTGTAAAGAACTCTAAATCTTATTTTATAAATTAATAATTGAAAAAGCAAAATATTTCAAATGTCTAGAATAATCAAAAATTATTATAAATTCGTTTCTGTAATTCCTTTTTAACTATTAAAGTTTCAGTAATATCTAAACTAAATCTAATATAACTTAAACAGTATAAATGTTATTATAATTAAATTTTTTAATTTATTAAAAAATTTCAGACTTAAAAAGTTATTTAATTTAATTATATATATAGTAGTTACAAGATATAAAGAACTCTAACTTTTCTGTTAACATTTTTACTTTACAGTATTAATCTTAAAAGTTAGCTAGTAAATAATTTCCTTTCACAAAAGCAATTCTTTAATTAAAAAAACTTTTGAGCGCTAAAGTATTACCTTCTATAAATCATCTTCATGTAAAGGTTATTACCATTTTCTTAAACAATAAAAAACAATTCTATTGATTTGTTTAGGACTTAATACTTATTAAATATTCTAAAATTTTGAAAAAAAACAATTTTTTTTTATTTAATCGAAAAAACTTTTTTATAAAAAATCTTTTTCAAGTTTAAAAAAGGATTTTAAGCAAGTAAACTAAAATTCTAAATAAATTTCTAAAATGTTATTCTGTTTATAATTATTTCGTATTAATTAAATTAATTACAAGTAATATTTTTATAGTAAAATTTATTATATTATAAAAACGTTTTCATTTAAAATTTATATATAAAATTAAAATCAATTTCTGTTATCATAAAAAAATTATTTATAATCAAAATAATTTAACTTCTATAATAATTAAACGTTTTTTTTAATGTATAACAAAAACTTTATAAAAAATAATTCCTTATTAAACCTATAATTCCATGTAAATCTTAAAACATTTATTAAAGTTATTTTCCAATTTTTATTAAATAAAATCTTCTTTACAGTTATATACTTTAAAAATAAAAAGCAAAATTTAAAAAAAAATTTATGAAAAATTAAATTTCTGCGAAATCTCTTTAAAAGTAAAATTATGTAATCGTTTCATAAAAACCAAAAAAAAATTATTAAAATATTTTCAGTAATTTTATAATAATAAAAAGTAAACAATTTTTTCAACTACTAAATTTAAATTAATTATGAAATACAAAATCATAAAATACGAGATTACAGTAAAGCTTTTCCAAATCTTGCTAATTTCCATATTAAATTTATAGTTTACAAAATAAAATTAACTTTTTGTGTTCAAAAAAAAACCAAACTATGTAAATTATATATTTTTTATTATTATATACTAAATTTATAAAAAAAAAAATTATAATTTAAAAATTTTAATGTAATAAAATTTTAAATCCACATAAAAAACTTTTTTTTTTAGATTTTTCATACAGAAAATCGAATTAATTTAAATTTCTTTATAAACTTTTCTTGACTTGTAAAATATTCAACTTGAAGGACTCAAATTTCCTGAATGTTCTAATTTAGCTTTATTAGAGTCGACTGCGCTAAATCAATAAAACATTATGGATCGTGGAAATTATTTAGTTCACAAAAAGTTCTAAAAAAAAATGAGTTTATCTTTTATAGTAATTAAAATGATTAGAAATTTAGCAGTTAAAAAGTTAGCGACTACAAAAAATAATTAAAAAAAATTAAATAAAATTTCAAATAAACAATCTTAAAAAAATATCGAAAATAGTAAATTGATATAACATTTAACAAAAAGAGAATTTAATAAAATAAATAAATCCTCAAATGTAAATATAATTAAACCTTAAATCAATATTTTCGGGATCTTTTCCACTAACTTCCTTTTTAAAGATACTGGAAGGTCTATTTTTTCTTATAAATTTAAAAAATTTAAAATAAAAATTTATAAATCACTTTCATCAAGATTTATTTATATTAAATAATCTTTATAAACCGTTTAAATAATATATAACAGTTATTAAAAAAATATAATAAAAAATATTGAAAAAAAAATTTAAAAACTTCAGCTGATAAAAATTTTTAAACGCTGGGTAACTAAAAAAGTTGAATTTTTAGAAAATCAATATGAAAAGTAAAATTATTTTACCAAATATTTTGATTCACCTCAAAAAACTGTTCTATAAAGTAAAGTTACTTTTAAAATTAAAGTTAAATATTATAATAATCATAAATCCAATTAGTAATAAATTAAAAAATTAAAATATAATAAATTTCAATAACAAATTTATTTCTAAGTTAACGTAAATCTACTTCGTGTGGTTCTTGAAAAAGCGCGCTCGCGCATATAAGCATGTTTATACATAACGTCCCTGCTATGTACACGCAATCATTACATCTAAATTTTAAATGGACGCGCATTTAGTCAAATTGCACAAAGCACAAAAAACAATTAAATGCGTTTATAAAGCCTACACTAAATAAGTTACTCATAAAATACAAATGTATAATGTTTTATAATAAGGAATTGAAAAGCCAAAGAAAACCAAAATTGTATTTGAAAAAATAATAGTAATAAACCATTAAAAGTATAATGAATTTATTATAATAAAAATTTAAAATATAATATAAATAATTAAGCCGAAAAAAAAAGTTTTATATAATATTATTTATAGTAAATTAAAATTATATAATTAATTTAATAAATAATTATATTTTTATAATAATAAATAATTTAAAACGAAATAATTCAAAAATGAAAAACGAATTTTCTAGAGAATTAAAAATGGATTTTGAAACTTGATAAAATTAAAAAAAAATTTTTAAACAAAATTCTAACTTGTTAAAAAAAACTTTTAATAAACAGCAAAATCATTTTATAAAATATATAATTTACTTAAATATTATAATATTATAGTATAAAAAATAAATGAAGGCAATAATATTACATATGTATTAATTGGTATTAAATTTTCAGAGCAAAAAAATAATTAATTGATATTAATTTAATTTCTATTTTTTTTATAATTATTATAAAATTAAAAACCGAAATTTTATGGAAAAAAAAATTATAAAAAGAAAGTCTTTAACCTTTTGTAAAGCAGAATTGCAATAATTTGAATTACACAAAAAAGAAGACCCAAAACATTCGGAATGTAAATTGCTCGATCACTTTTATTAGAAATTAAAATCAGCTACAAAGCTAAGACTCTTTTTTTTTAATTAAAATAATTGCGTTAAAAAAATTTTTTTATAGTAATTTTTTTTAATTATTAAATCGTAAATTAGAATGAATATAAATTTTATAAGAGAGAAAAAATAAACAAAAAGTTGCACAAATATATATATATATAAAATAATCAAGTAAAAATAAAAACTACAAATAAAATTAATTTAAAAATTCAAAAAAATAAAATAATTGCGATACTTAAAAAACGTGTTCACGTTAGTTTACTAATAAAAAAATTTACAATTATAACAGCCAAACTAAAAAAAAAACGAAATTAATAAATTTATAAGAAATAAACAAATTAAAGATAGTACAAGTTAGATACAATAAAAAATATCAATTAAATTTTTTTTAAAATTTTAAAAAATGAATTAATATGGAACTAATTAATCAAACCACTAGTAAACCGGCCAAACTAGTTTGTACAAATTTATTATTTTTTAAAAAATAATTTTAATAATAAAATAATTAGAATATTAATAATATTTTTTTAAAAATATAAACAAAAATAAAATATGTATTACGCTTAAGAAAATCCGTAAATCATCTTTTTAAATTTAATAAAGGATTAATTTATAGACGATTATGCTAAAGAATTACTCAATTAAGGTCAAAAAAAAAATGTAATACGCTAAATAGAAGCCGTAGCTGAGCCAAAGACAACAGTTAACCGTTAATGTGACAGTCAGCGGCGTGGAAAGGGTGCTTGCATCCTTTTTTTTGATAACCTAAAAATCGTTAAAAAAAAACCAATTTAATTTTTTTTAATTCGTAATTAAAAAGTTTAAATTTGAAATATTAAAGTAAATTATACTGAAATTTACGAAAAACATTTTTTTAACTCTAATGTAGTAGTCAAGTTACTAAAAATTATCGAGACATTTTTTAAAATCTTATTAAAATGCTTATAAATTAATAATAAAAATAAAAGGAATAATATATTTAAAGTCTTTAAAGAAATTTCTTATAAAAGCAAAAAATGCAAATCAATAATTTTCTTAAACCAACAAAAAAATTCTATATAAATTATTTACCAATTAAATTCATATAAGATTTAAACATTATTTAATCTTTTCTTAATAAATTATTAGAAGTAAACATAATTTAAAAAATATAACTAATAAATAATCTTTAAGTAAATATAAAGAAGGAAATATTTTTAATAGTAGAATATATATATAATTATCTTAATTTTTTAAATGTTTTATTATGATTCTAAATTACTGTTTAATTAAATATTTAAGTTTACTTAAAAAAATTGTTTAAATTCAATTAGTTTAAAAATGTTTAATTTAATATTTAATATAATTTTTAAATCTTTTTATTATTAATTACAAGTTCAATATATTAAATTCTATTTTTTAATTTCATTTATAATAGTTGTTATTATTTAAGTGAATATAGTTTTTCGATATAAATTTAAAATTTAAATTATTTTTACTTAAAGTAAAAACATAAAAAATTTAATAATTAAGTCAATATTTTTAAAAATAACTAAACTAAATAAACTGAATTTGTTTAATTAAATAAATTTCAAAGAAATTATTTATATCAAAAGTTAAAACAAAAAGAGTTTTAGAACTTGGAAATAAATCTCGATAATTCCTAATTTATATATATATATATAGAAATATAGCTCACTTAACCCATATTTATAAAAAAAATTCATTACTTACTTCATACAAAGTGGTCAAAGGAGAAAAATAAAAAAGGCACAGAATGACGATGCATACAATTCTAAAAATTAATTAAAATCTATAAATAAAAACTTTTGATAAAAAATTAAGTAGGCAAAGTTTTTTTCGAACATAAAAATTTTTAAGACCAGCTATTCAATTCATGACGTTATAATAAAGTAGTAACCAGAATGGAAAGCAAATAAAATATTTATTATTCCTAAAAAGAAATTAAAAAAATATATATGCATACCCGTAAAAAGTTTTTCTTACTGAAAAATCAGTAATTTTGGAAGCAATGAAGGCGGACAAACCAGCAACCAAAAGTTCTAATTCCAGCAAAATTTCCATAAATAATTTTAATTTTTCTCTTTTTACTATTCCGTACGCTATTATTGTTAGCCTATATTACAAAAATATAAACAGAAAGCCAGCCATTATTATATAGAGATGAACCATGAAGAAATTAATAAGCCCACAAAGTTTGGAAAAAATAAATACGGGTTGCTGTCACTGATAATAGCATATATTACTTGACAAACTGTGTTACCCTGTAGAATTATTAATTTCAAGAATGAAAAATTAAAAAAACTAAATTAAGATCGAAAAAGAGGTGTAAATTTCAGTAAGTATATATAAATTATTAATAACATTTTTTTAACAAAATGGGTGGTCTACCGTACTTAAAATTCTAAATCTTTTCAACGTAAATATATATATAACTTAAATGGTATACTATAATGAGTTTGTAGCACAAGTACTTACCACAAAAACTTCACTAATATTCACAATATAAAAACAGTGCGATAGAATTTTACCAAGATGCCGACAAAGGGAATGGGATTAATTTCCCCCAAATCCTTTCTTTTTCTTGCTTTGTAAAGGGCCGGAACAGAAGAAATAAATACCAAAACCGATATAGCACCACCAAGGCTAGGAATAACATACTCTTGTAAAACAAGAGTTGCAGTAGTCATCACAACTAAACTATGGTCTTATACAATTATATTAATTTCTTAAGTTTGTCAAAGCTACTCTGAAAAAATGAAGAGATCTCAAAAAAAAAATGGATACGAAAACGTCAGCGATAAAAGGTTTTTATATTGCATTTTATTAAACGCTTTATGGACAAACAAAAAAACAGTACAAATCTGCACATTTAATTAAACGATTGTGAGGCCCCGTTTACTCTTTCATTAGCCCAGGAAACAAAGAGCTTAAGGAAAATGCGAGGTTAATATTTACAGTGGCTGGAATTTATTTACTTTACTATTACTTTTATTCTGTATTTGTTAACGATGCGATCCAGGAAACTAATGATAAAAGATGGATAAACTTATTCATCAATAAAAAATATTTATTTTTAACCTTAGCCTTAATAAGCGAGTCTTTAAAATAATTCTTGTGGTCAAGGTATGATGGCTTAAAGTTGTTAAGAGAGCTCAGTGTCTTCAGATGTGTGAAAATTAATGCAGTTAACTAACATTAATAACTTCGGCGCTAAGTTCAATAAATGTGAGAATCACTTAAGCGAGTGATCCATTAATAAAAATAATACAAGACTAACCCCGCATAGTAAAAACGAATTAAATAAAAAGATAATTAAATTAACAATTGCTTATAAAAATATAATAAAACGTTGTTCTACAGGCTAAATATGTAATATACGTCTAGTCTTTAAAATGTTTACAGCCAGCTTCCCTCTTTACTTAATTGCAGCGGTGCAACGGACAGAACCTTTATTAAGTTCATCGATGTCCGCTATTAGAAAAATAAAGATGGATGCCCTGGTAGATTCCCTACTATCCTGTTAACTTTTTTCTATCTATATCTACGATACGCCACAATCGTCAATAATAAACTCAGCCCAGTACGCTGATAACACAGTCTTGTATTATTGTTCAAAATTCGCTAAGCTGGTGTTTAAAAACATTGAGGCACGGTTTTCAACATGTAAATTAACAATTAACGCGTCGAAAAATAGCTTTATAATTATACCCAGAAAGAGGTTTGATCCCCCAGATCCCTAATTTTTCACAAGTTAAACTGTCATTTCTCGAAAAAGAAGGTTAAGTATACTAAGGTATGCTTGGCGACAGACAAGCTGGACCCCTTTTTTTAAACAAGCTATAGCCGTTTTTATATTCTTACCATGCAGGAAAAGAAAATTAGGTTTAAAAAAAAAGCTCTTATTTAAATCGGTTATGCGTCCGCTGATGGTCTATACTCTTTTCCCCCCCCCTAGGCCTATTCCTCAAGCAAATATATTTTTTACAAATATGACAAAATCGCATTCTGAAGGTGGTGGAGGACGCCTCTCGGTTAGTTAGTGCGCAACAGCCAACTACATATCGTAAATTCGAGTTGTTTTCAAGAAAAATTTAATAAAATTCGACGGAACTGGCTACTAGAGCCAGTATCACCACAACACACCAGTTAGGCAGCAGGCACTTGACTATAACCCTAGTTGGTACACCAAGTACCTATGGCCAAAACATTTCCTAGATTTACTAGAGGGGGAGTATAGAATATTTTATCAAGCTATTAATATATATTAATATATATATATTTCTAATAATATTACGGTATGAAGCTTAACTATTTTATTAGATGTAATATTGTTATTATTTTGCTGTTACGTCTTTATTAATGTAGCTAAAGCGCATTCGTTCTTCTCGTTGAAGGCGCAATAAGTCGTAAGGAAAGTTCTGGATTCTGCACCTTCAAATCATTAGAGGAAATGAGATTAAGCAGCAATTGGTTATGAAGAACACTGTAGTAAACCAGTGCTATAATAAGCAAAAAGATAAAAATAATCCTTTGGGTAACTATAAATAGTAAGTAGGAAAATTTAAAACGAAGTTTTTATGGTTTTAATTATGAGGCTTTAATAACTTACTATATAACACTTCTTAATAAAGATAATAATCTTTAGAAATTTTGAATATTTTTGTACTGCTACCGCAATACTGATTCTAAACTCTTACATGAAAAGTTTTTACTATGAAAAAACTTCTGAAAGTTATAAGATTTTTTTTAAGTGGTAACGCTGTAAAAAAACGTAAGAAACAACTGTGCAGCTAATCACAAATAGTGTTAGCCTGCGAAGAAGTGAAATGTGAAAGTCCATAATACTGTGCAATGTTGCCACCTTTTTTTGGCCAGTTTTAAATATTATAATTAACAATGAGTTAAATATTTAATTTATCTCGGCCCTTACCTTTATTTTTCCCTTTTTCTTTATAGACAATTTATTGTTCTTAGTGTAAGGAGTTTAAACATTATATTAGTTGTTATATATAAAGCTAGTATCATATATTAAACAATGTGTTTACCCTATAACAATTTCTGCACCACACCTATATAAAGCTTAAACTTTATAAATGAGGCACAAGTGATTTGTCACGCCAACTTCCGGTTAAAAAATAAAGCGTTTAATAAATAGTCTACAAAAATTCTATACAGCGCTAAAAGTAATAAACTATTGCTAACATGTCTTCTAATATCAAAATAAAAGAATATAAAGTTTTCTGATTAGGTTTTTTGGATATAATGGGATGGGGTTGCAGGCTAAATAAAAGCTGATATTGTAAAGTTTATTTATGATACTGCTTGCCGCAAAAAGCTGTGTAGGTATTTATATAAACTCATTTAACCCGTTATTACAATTCTTTAAAATATATTTAGTTACTAAAAGGTACTTGAGTGGAGGAGAAAAATAATAATATATTTATTACAATATTTTAAGGGATACTGCTTCAAACTGAAGATAGCAACAGTAGAACTAAGGTAGACGTGCATAAATATAATTTTAAAATCATTTCTACTCTCCCTCGAGACAGTTCAGAGAACCGGCGCAATACAACTGCATATATTTTTTTGTTTGTAGCACTACATAAAACAGGGCTGATTCTAATTAAAGATAAAATTGCCTGACTACGTTCGCATAATTTTACGAATGTATTACAGATTACAAGTGTAATGAAGCGTACAGACCCGCGAGACTGCAATATTAGGAGACAGCAAAGGGGCTAAACAATGCTTATGGTACAGAGGCAGAAGTATATACACCTTAACATATTCATAAGTTTCTTTTATTAAATTATCAACTTCAACTATTTTAATTCATTGACTTTTTAAAGAAGGCAAACAAAGAAATAGTTAGCGAAATGTGCTAATTTTTCTAAAATATTAATCTTTTAATAATTTTTAAGGCATTTTCTAAATGTAAATTAAGAATAAAAGGTTAACAACGTGTTCAATTTCTATTACACTTTAGTATTCTAATTAAAATTAAGCTATTGTAAGGATAAAGTCAAATACTTTTTTTTTTAACTTTAATTTTTCCCACTTAATCTTGGCCTAGCGGTAACTGTATATGCATTCAAACAAATTTTATTAACTTCTTTTACTATTCTATTAATTTATAGTAGACTAACTCTTACAACGACTGCGCTATAATTTAACCTGTGCAAGTCTGATATTTTACGCAAAAAAAAAGTTATTAGTTTCCCAGAACTTTAAGCGTTGTAAATTTTTAAAAGACTTTCCCTAAAGGTAAATTTGAGTAAAAACTTGTAAAATTTTTTAGTGAAAAAAAGGGGTACAACAAATCTAAATTTATAAATTTTTTTTGCAGATAAAAATTTAAGATTGCTGCCGTTAATATAAAATTATATTTTATTCAGTATGAAAGTATTATTTTTGAAAACTGCTAAACTAAATAATTTTTGGTAAGAGCCCGCTCAAGAGTAGAAATTTATAGTCTCACTTAAGATTTCTTGCAAAAAGAAATTTTTTTTCTTCAAAAATCTGCTTCTATTGAGCTGATCGTAATAAAATTAGAAAATAAAGAGTAACCACGAACATATTTTTCACCTGCCACAAACCCTACAGAAAGACGCTGCGAGTTGCCCGCAAGTTTTTTCTGAAATCCAAACCTTTATTATAAATTAATCGTTGTTTTTTAATGTACAATCTGATTTTGAGGTTAAAATCATATACATTTTACGATTGAAAAAAAAAAGAAAGTCTAATAAACTTCGGAACTTGTTATAATTTACTTTATACTATTTTTTTGAAAAACACTCCAAATATTATTTTTTCAATATATAGTAGATTAAGTTATATTTTTGCTACTTTTCGCATATTTTCGTATAATTATTTAAATAAGTAAAAGTCTATTAGCATTCTTAATTAAAAAAAAGTTACCGTTCTTTGCAAAGTTCGTTAACACACTGGTAGTAATATCTATAATGAACTTCGAAAGTGTGCCACGTTTTAACGCAAACTGTAGGAAGAGTCTGCCTGACACGATGCGCCTTTTTATTAATTTTTTTTAACTTATTTTTATTTTGTAAATTTTATGATTATTTAATTTCATTTTTATAAGATATAGATTAATTACAAATACTTTTCAAGGCTTGTTTAAATTTTTAGAATTTAATTATTTTACTATTTACTTAATAGCTTAAATTTTTAAAAAAAGGTTATTAACTTTAATTTATTAGGAACTGAATATTCAATATTTTTAATTTTTATTCCAAAGTATAAATTTAAAATGTCGTAATATATTTATTAATTATTCTAAAAAAAAAAAAAAACCAAAATTTAGTTAAATTTTTTTCATATTTTTTTTACTTTTTCATTTCACTGTTTATAAAAAATAGTTTTTATTTCGTTTATTACTATTTTTAAGAATATATATATTTATTATTTTATTATTCATTAATTTCGTTGGTAGAAATTAAAAGTTAGTCACAATCATTTTATAAAAAATCAATATTTTACGAAATTAAATTTCCGTGTTTTTATTACTTTCAAATCCGCTGCATAAAATTTAAAAATTTGGTTCTAATCATTAATTATTAATTTATCAAATTTTGAAAATATACATTTTTTAATGTCAGTATTTAAACTTTTAAAGTAGTGGTAATTCCTATTTTTACTAGTATAAAATCTTACGATTAGGTATATTATATTTTAATTTCAGTTTAAAAACTATAAACTATTATAATTACTTTGTTTATGGTTCTAATATTCTTGTATATTCAATTATATTGTTTCAATTTTGTTTATAATTTCAAAGTGGTTGCCACTATCCCTTTACTAATTATTAAATCTCTGTAATTCAATTATATAATATGTAAAATCACTAAATAATGTTGAAAAGTTAGTTTTCTTTATTTGTTAAATATAATGAGTTTATAAAATTTCCTTTTTATATTATTTTTCCTATAAACTATAATTAGCAGTTACAAATATTTTTTTAACAATAAATTATGAGTTAAGTGTACTTATATTTTTCCAATCATTAATAATCGTAACATTTTACAAGGCCATCCACTTTATTGCTTTTATTAATTTTGTTAAATTTTTTTTATAATAATTTATTTCTAATAAATTTCTCTTATAAACATTTCTTATTCATAATTTCTTATAGATGATAATTCTTTAGTAAGAAAATAGTAGAAATAAAAAGTAGAAGCGACCATTTTTTAAAGGCTTGGTCGTGAGGCGGCTTGGAGACGCCGTCAAATTGCCACGCTATAGAGGGCGAGAATAATAGAAAATATCATTGAAAAATAAAGTAATTAAAATTAGTTAAACCAAAATTATAAAAATTCAAAGTTAACAGTTAAGTATAAGAAAGGTTGCTTATAAAAATATAACTGAAAAGCTTCCTTACAATACTATAAGAAAATTACCATATTTTCCTTCTATTAACTCTCGTTTTTTAATAAATTGTGGCCAAGATTTTTTCAACACTTATGTTATGAAAACATATAATAGTTAGTTAGTCAACCGAATTTTTAACTTTTATAGCAGGGCTCTAAATTACTGTTGAGCTTCAGTAAATCTGCTTTATTGTGAGCTTTGTCGGTAACTGTTTCAAATTTGCTTATTCTTAATTCAAGGAGGTCATGTATAGTAGTCAGAGAAAAGCAACTCTTCCAAGCAAACCAAGCAAGCGCGCACTAGAAATTGGTCTGATCAGAAGAAGAAGTGTTAATATATTTTTTTAAAGTACTGGTATTCTACGTCTGGTTTTAAGACCTTAAGCCGCTTAGTCTGAATTCCCCTCTTCTGCAGGGGTTGGGCCCCTACAATGGAAAAAAGTGAAATTTGCTCATGTATGTATGCTTGGTGTTCTCTATCTACCGGTAATGGTATCGTATTTGGCCGTACAAAATTACAGCAAAGAAGTTAGCTTTTTTAGGGTATACGTAGGCAACTTCCCCGTTCTTAATTATAGGAGCCTAGAACCATTTTTTTATTTTTGAACACAGTTGTCATTTTCCACAGTGTTATCGGTAAAGAGTTGGATTTAAGTTTTTGTTTTCATATTGTTTCGAAAAAAAAAACTAGCGATTTTCTTTTAACAAGCCCGCTATTTCCATGTATTGTCTCTCTAAGCGGCGTTTATAATAAGTACTCTGATGTGACCAAGAACATCAAGCATAAAGGTTTTATAGGGTTTAAAGGTTGTTGCGTACTTTAAAATTTTGACAGCAGAGTTTTCAACGACAGAAGTAGTCCTGTTAATTCGAGAATAACATGTGAAATAAGGGAAGGAAGGTGGGCCGCCGCCTACAGATTTTTTATAAGGTTCTATAAGTAATTTTTACTAATTCCTCAGTTGGATCCAAAAAGTCATCTCCAACTTCCCGCAGGGCTGGGCAGTGGTCAGATGATAATTCTTAGAGGGTTTTTAGCATGCACAGATACGCGTAAGCGCACATTTTTCAAAAAAACTATAGTCAGTAAATTCACCGAATCTCGAGTTGAAAGGCGGGTAGGATAAGAAGGGGCTAATCCTAACATATCCTTCTCCTCTGCACACGGTTCTAGTATTTTTACCGTAAGGATTATAGACGCTGCTATTCCATGAATGTTGTTTACAGTCTAAGTCTCCACAAACAAAGAAGAATGGTAATCGTCAAAGAACTTATCCAAATCATTTACATCCAGATTCTTATTTGGAGTGCGGATGCCAGTTGCTTCTATACCCTTTAGCTCAAAATATTTCAAAAAAGAAGTATCTAATGTCCTTTTTTATAAGAATGGCTACACTTCCTCCCTCCTCATATCACAACAGTCTTTTTGATAAGTTGTGAAGTTGTGTAGTGTGGGGGTAAACCCTGTTACCACTCTTGAGGTGAGTTTCTGTTATCAGTTGCAAGGTTAATATCCAACTTTTCACTTAAAATTTGTAGTTCTCATTTTTTGCCCCAGACCCCCTTAGCGTTCCAAAAAGTATTTTAAAAAGTTTTATAATTTTTTTTTTTTCTTTCAATATGGCGACAATTTTAGATTTAAGTCGCTTATCGATATAAAGATTTGGGTACTGATGGCTTCCGTTAGAGAGCTAACAATTTGTTTTATTATATCTCATTCAAGTTAGTGAAAATTGTGCAATTATATCTACATTGTCCGGTGTTTGAAGTGACCGACAGGCAAATCAAAAGTTTTTTATTAAAGGTGTATATTTAGGGTATTAAAAAACAACTTCAAAAACTAGCAGGGCGTTCACTCTGACAGCCGGCACATTTTAGAACATGATGTTCAACGCATCGGTATTGAGAAGTACAGAATCTATTGGTGTGTCCATAAAACTGGCAGCGAAAACATTGTCCAATTTCTACCATTCTTTTTTAAAGGCTCAACAGAGATGAATATACATCCATTATTTCCGCATTTTTACAACCTCAGCAGGATAAAACCCTAGTTTTCTAGGCCTTCTTTAATGTCTTTTATATCCACCTCCTCAAAGACACCACGAAAGTCTACTTTGAGCCCTCCCTCGGACGAAAGTCGATATGTATATCGTTTAACCGATTCTGGATCCAAAAGAATAAATTTTTTAAAGTCCTTCTCGGAAAATCAAAGATCCTTACCCGTATTTCCAGTTCTTCGCAAATAAACTCTCAATATTATTAGTTTTTATTAACTGAGACACTACTCCAAAAATTTCTGTTGCCTATTGTTATATGAGTGATTCTGCATTTCTTATAATTATTATAATTATTAGTATCTTTATCGTCATAGAAACTGCTGTTTTCAATGTTGTTAGCTACTTTTTCACTACAATTACTATTGTTACTAGTTGTAGTATTATTATATAAACAGTACTGTTAACATCGAAAATAATAATATTTCAAGAGTTCTCATTAAAATTTTTATTACTATTTTTAAACAGTTTACTATTATAATTTTCCATATTAACATTAATAAAATCATTATTATCATATAAATTAATATTACTACTAGAAGGAACCTCTTTTATTCACTGTCTTCCCACGTGACCTATTTAAAAATCTAAACATTGTCTAAAATTTGTAACGGGAATAAGGATTAGCAGTTGTAGCGACCAGAATAGTCTTTAGTTCTTGTGAATCTTTCCGGCTTTAAAAATATTTCAAAAATATATTTTTTTCCATGCCTTTAAAATATTATCTCTAACTCCTATTATAAGCGGAGTTCGCAGCCAGTAGACTGTGTTGCCCCGTATTAGCGGAAGATATACCCAAAACGACATTAATATATATATATATATATAGAATAAAGAGATTTATGCAAAAATAAAAAATTAAAAACAAAGTTATAAAAAGTATATATTTATGTGTTAGCTAAGCAAAGTAGACAAACAAAATAATTAGTAAAGGTGATGTAAGTAAGGATAGTAAGTTGTGCAAAACAAGAAAAATATATAGTTATAGCAAGCACCTTTCGTATAAGCCCGTGGGCTCTTAGAGTTAGCTGCAAGTCAAAAAAAATACGAACAAAACCTTTCAATTTTCCTTTTTTATAGATGCCGTTTCCTGGTGGTCGATCGAATTAGCAACTTCGAATACACGAGATTTCAAACAGGTTTTCAGTCGTACATGAGTGGAAGTATAATTTTATCTTGAAATGTGTCCTTCTCGTTCAAACCGGGAGGGCAAGAATGCGTCGTACCATAGCATGAAAGTGAGTTCTTCCGCTAAAAGGCGATTAGGGTGTCCAGCTATCCGTTTCGTAGAGGGCGACGGCTCATTTTTATAGCTTGTGATCAGCAGCTCAGTCTGTAATTCGTGGTGAAGTGTATCACTGCTCATAAACAAAACGGCGAGTTGGTTAAAGGCGCAGCATTTTATTTCGTTGAACCTGAAGCGAGGAAGTTATTGCCAAAATGTCGTAGGCAAGCAGGAGATGCATATGTTATAATCGGCCGAAGGCACAGCACACATTAAAAAACCTTCGCTTATGAAGCAGTTTACTTTTGCTGCGTAATAGATGATATAGCCTCTGGGTCGCTGCCTTGACCTCACCGCCACGTAATTAATGTGTGCACCAACTTAAAAGCTATGATGACCCCAAGGTATGTATTTCGCCTAAGAACACTACGAAAATTCATGCCTTTGAAAGTCAACGATTTCGGCAGCCCTAGGCATTTCTTTTTTACGACTTGTTCTTTGCTGCATTACGCCAGCTAGGAAACGCGCCAAGATAAGGTTGTAGGTCTGATATAGTAAAATGGGTAACTTGACGACTAATATACCATGTATAACCTCTTTAGTTGTGATACGTGTGGGGGTAGACTGGCGCAGACATTTAGCTCGTATGCGAATAACAGCGGCGATAGAAAGGAGCTATCCGAAATTCCATCTGCGAAATGGCGAGGCAGCGACACTGCAGCCCACTCGCACGCTAAAAACCGGGCGTCCCATGCAGCTTAAGCACGTCGCGCTGAATACACCAAAGCATACAGTTTGCGGAACAGGTCTTCCTGCTATACATGTTCTAAAACCTTAATATCGAGAAAGACAGCGCCCGTGGCCCACTCGCTCAGGCGATTGATTTATTGGGCCGTTGAAGGTTCCTTTTGAAATCCAAACTGAAACTCCGGTAAAATTACATGGGTGTCCAAAACTCCAAACATTTTTAGTATGATTGCAATCAGCTACCTTACCAGCTGCCGAGGAAAAGCTAACGGTAATAATTGCGAGGCTCTGATGCCAGGTGAGGTGCCTGCAGTAACATCACGACCCGCCATTTTTTATAGTAAGTCAAAAAAGGCGAAGGCCCTCATCGACTCAACCAGGCAGCAGAAAGGGCCATAGCCACCTCTGATAGTTGTTTAATATCAGGTTAGTAATGTCGTCAGGGCAGGCACTTGTCTTTTTGGTGGAAATATGACGATTGATTAAATCTCGTCTATGGTAAACAGCTCCCGGGGAGAGGTTGCGTCAACCGAGTAAAACTTGGCACAAGGTACTCGCTGTTAACGGTTGAGGAGGAAGGCGGTAAACAGTGAACAGCAAGATGATAGGCAAAGAGTTCCGCTTTGTCTTTATGACTTCTGGCCAAGTATTGCAATTGCGAAATGGTGAACGAGATAGATCTCGCAATTTCTAACAAGTCTGACATTTTTTTAAAAGGAGGCGCGACCGTTGTCACCAGTATCTTATCCTTCGTTGAATTTGTAATCCCATTAAATATTTAGGTGCGCCTTCAGTTTATATCTAATGTGCTGACGAAGGCGCTTTAGCACCAGTCTGTCATCAA